CTTTTTAGCCTCCGGCGAAACCTAGAGTCTATACGGCTTCGCCGCACGACTAAAAAGCGATATGTACGTAATTTTCACTGAGGATTTCATCAAAAATAGCAGCATAAAACATTTATGTACCTAGAACGTATTATGTTTCATTCAAGATACGGTAAAGAGCAACTTTCATTCAAACATCCGATCCCTCTTGTTATAATTCCCCTTATTAAAGCCAAAAATACCTTGTGTTTTTGGGAAATCACAGAGGAACACGGTAACTTTTTCAAAGAGATGAAAGTTGTTGTCAAGCAACAGATAATTGATCCATATTTGATAGCAAAATCAATGCAAAATGAAAAAAAAAGAAGCTGAAATACATGTTAAAAAAATGCAAATATAATGTCTCCAGTTAACACTAAGAAGGGAAAAAAGACATTCCGGTGACACTGAGGATGATCCGTACGCTATACGAGAGAGAAAAATGTATGAGAAAACAAAACACGAGAGATGTCAAGAGCTGTCTATAAATTACGTAAGATACTATTTCAAATTTTCCACTTCCTCCTCCTCGCAGGCGCAATCACACATGGATGTGTCTCGACACAGCTGGACAACGATGAAAGCTTTCGCTTCCATTTGAAACACTCACTTGTTTTTTCAATATGCGTCATCAATCTTTATCCCCAACGCACATCTGACACAGCTAACTTATCACAACTGCGACTGCGATATATATGAAAACACTTCTTCCTGTGCTTTACGTAATGAATAGATCGCCCCTCATGGAGAGAAAACATGAGAATACAACCAACCTAATGCTGTTTAAAGCAAACTACCGCTGATACAATCCGAGGATGAGTAAAAAAAAGTGAGCCTAAGAAGTTGATAGAATGAGAAAGAAAAACCTAGAACTCGTGGATACTGATTCTATAAAATGTCTTTTTATTCTTTGAAAGAAGGATAAATTTCTAATTTCTTCGTGATGAAAACTAAATGTTAAAATTCAGCTTTGCTCTGGATCTAAAAGCAAGAATGTAGAGGGTTCATGCTTGAAACAATAAAAATAAAAGGGAAACTATTCTAGCAAACTTCATAATCAACGCTCAAGGGCAATACCTGGTATCCCTTTTGAAGTCCTTCTACGGTGACCTTAGAAAATGAGAAAGAAAATCATCATTTTACATTGCACCCAACTAATTGTAAAAATTATTTAGATTGGAAGGGCACAAGAAAAGAAAATGCTAACTTGACTTGGGGGATAAAAATAATAAAAATAAGAACATAAATTTGTGGGACCCTTGGAAAACTGAGGGACTTACCATGAGAGTTACCTTTTTTGTCCAATCAAACCAAGGAAGGTAATGAATACAATTTGGTAGAAGGAGTTACTATAAGAGTATCTATGAGAACCCCAGTGCAGGAATAAATATAATTGGTTTTTTGTGATAAAAAAATAAATGGACCACGAATTATCTTGAATTCAATACTTATTTTTCACCCAAAAACTGAGAGAAAATTATGGATGGATCATTTTCTTCTAAGATACTGCCGACAATTACATTGATATAGTAAATGGTGTAACATTATCAAAACAAAAACAACAGACATTGGCCCAAATTTTTGTAAGTACGTAAATGTGGCTGGTCTATTGCTACTGAGATAAGTTTTCCAAAGATTGATACTCGATTAGGATAAAAAATTACGATTTCTCTTAGGCACTAAAATTGAACAATGTCAAGGAACAACCTTCTACAATAGCACAATCGTAACCTAGAAACTTACCTTCAACTTATGATTTGAATTACATCTACACCGAGGAAAATTTTATTATGTAAAAGTGTAAAGTGTAATGGTAAAAGATAATTTAATGTAATAGGTATTGATTGGCTCAAAAATTATATTGGAGTGATTGGATTAGATACTGTAAAATCAGTTATGATTCACCAACCTTTAATGAAAGCCTGGGAAACGGAATTGGATCTTCGCTTGAACGGAACTTTGTGAACATTAAAATCTGCGATTCGAAGGATGATGCATGTTGTCATCAATTTGGCAAACTGGTCTTTGAGGTAAGCCTTAATTTTACTATTGCTTGAAGTTGGAACTTTGTTGATGTCACCACTTATGAGGCCCTGTAAAACAATGACAACATTGGCTTTAAAAAACTTAAAAGTATTCCACCACATAATCCGATTCAACATATTTTTGACAAACCTATGAAGACATGTATAGTACAGCGTAGTTATTTTTCAGAGTATGGCTTGGAAATCAGAATGGATTGACTGAAATCGCAGCTTTAAGCTCTAAATTTTTGCAAAAAACTCTATGAAAATGAAACTAGATAATTGTACTTCACTTTGTAATTGGGAGCTATAATTTCTGGCTCATCTGTAAAAATACCTACATGCAGAGGGAAACTACAGGTACGAACGTTATTTCTAGACTGAGCCAAAAATTGTGGTTCCTGATAGCAAAATATAGTCCAATTGAGGCAAAAAAATCAAGGTTCTACAGACTACATTTAAGAAGTTTTGATTTCTCAGATGATCAAAAACTGAATTTTTATATTGCACATGTGTAACTGCGCCAATACGTAGTGTGTTTCAGTTATTTTGAAGATAAAAAACAAGAAAAAATGACTTTTTGACTTGAATACTGACATTATGATGAATAAAAAAGATCTAGCATTCAATTTTTGGCAAATTGTATCTTGAGATACGCTTTTCTCAATAAGATTAATAAATCAATCCTGTACAACTCTCATCAGCCGTAATACCTTCAAGTACAGAAGAAAATCATAAAAAAAAAAAAAAA